CTTCAGGGCTCCTGCACTTTGAGTGCCTTTGTCACCACCTCTGCCGAGTGCAGGGATGCTCCCCTATTTTCAGGCAATGGCATCTTGGATGAGCCTTATTTGTTCTTTGTGAAATACAATGTTGAAAGTCCTGCCATGTCAATTTCATGCTGCCACTGAAACATGGTGTCAATAAGAGATACATGCACCTCTAGAATGAGTTTGTGTGGCCTGTGGTGTTATGGAAAACAGTATAATCCTACACTGGTGAAAGAGACTGAGGCAGCCAAGGGATCTCCACCTCATGATCCCTGCAAACAAGCTTTCTGTGGACAGAGGGAACTGGAAGCATTCTATGTGACATTTCTCTCTCCCTCACTTTTCGCTGAAGGTACTGTTTAATGTATGTGAATTAAATGCTTCAATAGTAGACACCGCTCCCTAGTCCTCATCTTCTGTTGTTCAAACTGAGGGTTGAGAGTGAGTTGGGCCTTGACCTCTGATTTCCTGACTCTCAAAGGTGACGGCACAGAGGCTCACACTGTATGTTTCAATGGGTAGATCTAAAAAGGCATAGTAATGCTGGGCTGGCTACAAGTTCTGGCTGTTTGTGGAGTGCAGACTTATGGCTCACTCTCTCTCTCTCTCTCTCTCTCTCTCTCTCTCTCTCTCTCTCTCTCTCTGTGTGTGTGTGTGTGTGTGTGTGTGTGTGTGTGTGTGTGTGTGTGTGTGTGTGTGTGTATCTGTGTGTCTGTGTGTCTGTGTTGGGGGAAGGTTCTGATGACACAGGGCAGTTCCAGCACCTGAGGACTCTTGCTGGATGCAGTGCCTTCTTGTGTGGGAGGGTGGATGGCATATAGATCTGCTGTGGACAAGTCACAAGGGGACTGCTGGGAGTCACTACTATGTGAACTAACACCCACTCATCATAGTTACACCCTTGGCTCTTTGGAATGGGCTCTGTGTGTCTGTCTGTCTGTCTCTAAACCAGACAACAACACACATTGTCTACATCTCTCTTTTTTTGTATGTTTGTTACAGACAGGGTCTCATATTATGTATCCCAGGCTGGCCCGGAACTCACTATTGACTTTGAACTCATGGCATCCTTCTGCCTCATTGTCCCAACTGATTAGGGTCCTGGTATGAGCCATTATGACTGAATAAGCAACAAATACTTATAAATAGTTTTCCTGTGCCGAGGATGGGTCCTAGAGCTTTGAGCATGTTAGGAAAGGTTCTCTACCCCTGGACTACACTTTGTGGTCTTCCTTTCGTTTTTTGAAAGGGGTTTTTTCTCTGTAGCACAGGCTTGCCTAGAACTTATCATCCTTCTGCCTCGGAGGCTCCCTGAGTGCTGAGATTACAGGTGTGTGCTCCCATGCCCAGTGACTGCTAAACACATTCTATAAAAACACATTCTGTACAATATGGGACTGTTTGATGGTTCTAATGGCAAATAGGTAGGCAATGTCCCAGCTGAGAAGGGCTGTAGAAGACATAAGAAATGATAGAGGCTAATGGAGGAGCGGCTACTGAGCTAGGGAGGTAGAGATGAGCTAGGAAGGCCATGAGGAAACCTTCCAGTAGAACAGAGACAAATGCAGAAGGTGAAACTGACATGGGGTTGAGGACAGAAGAAAAGAATGTCCCACAAAGAACTAACTCAAGGGCAAACACAGAGCAGAGCAGAGACACATTTGAGGAGTCTAGAATAGACCTGACAGGCACTATGGAGGAGGAGCCTGAGCCATCAGGGAGGGACTTAGGAATTCTGCTCAGGAGCATGACTTAACATCATGTTAGGGGGAGGTTACTTGTGGGTTTTAAGTGGAAGGACAGCACAGTCTGAATCATGTTCCAATGGTCATCTTGTCTGTATGGAGTCAGGAATGGAGTCAGGGAAGCCATCAGGTAGCTGGACAATTGGTGTGTGTGGGCTAGAGTTAGGACTGAGGAGAAGAGTTGGAAGGAGTGGAGACTTCAGTTCCTCCATAGGTTGACACTCAGTAGGACTTCAAGGAAGGATGGATGGAGGTGTGGACAAGAGAAAAGCAAGGCATAGGTGGGCCTTGTACCTAAGTAACAGAGACAGTGAGATTGTTTTCACACCAGCATTCAATGAGCCTCTCCCATAGGTCAGGTTTGCTCCACATAATGGGGGATCCAGAATGATCAAACAACAGCCTTTGTTCTTACCGAACTTTTAATCTTATTCGGGGGAGGAAGACAATGAAATCATACCTGCTTTCTTGTTGACAATATGATTTTGAAAGCTTTAGGTGTCCCTGGGGTTGTGGCCACATGACCACACACAGAAAGAAGTTGGAGAGCAGTCCAAAGATGGGGCTGAGAGCAACCCAGCATTTATATGTCTGGGCCATAAAGATCCACTGAAGGACTCTAAGGAGAGGCTAGGAAGGCTGTGAAGGTTAGAAGGGTGGGGATAGAGGAGTTCCTGGGTTATCCCTGTTAAATGCTGATTGGAGGGAAGTCAAATGAGATAAATATGCAGACAGCCTGTGTATAGGGTGGGTCTTATACCTCAGTGAATCTTCTCTGCAAAGCCCTCAGAATCACACCAAGAAGTGCAGATTTTAAAACATTTCTCAATCCAGTCATACTAACATTAACCATCCCAGCACTCTACACATCTACAACCTGACTGTGCTGGCCCTAGTGGAACAAAGAGGGAGGAGTTTGGCTCCTGACAACTCCAGGAATATGGATACTGTGCATGCTGCCTTAAGTCAAAACCCATGAAATTCAGGAAAACAGGAGCTTGGGGCCTATCAGTTAGGTTGAGCTGGCTGGTGAACCAAACATACCCATACACCAAAGAAACAACCAGAGATATGCAGGCCATTGTCTGTGGATGGGATTCAGGATGGATGTAACTAGCTTTCTGGGAGGTATAGCCAACTGTTTCTAATCAGGAACATTGAAACACACCCAGTTGTTACTGGGGTGTTCACTAACCCCCCTTAAATTCCTATGTTCAAGCTCTAACCTCCAATATGTCTATGTTTGAAGATAGGATATTTAAGGTGGTAACTAAGGATAAATGTGTCATAGGATGAAATGTTAAAGTCAATGGACCAGTAGCATTACAAGATGCACTAGAGCTCCCTCTCCTAAGGACAGACCATGTGAACAATGAGAGGTGGCTGTTGAACAGTCAGGAGGAGATCTTAGCAGAAACGAATCTCGGCAGTAGTCTGCACTCTTTCTCGAGGTGCCAACTGCTCTTCCCATTGGCTTCTATGGCACCCTTCCTGGGGCTGAAGTTTCTGTAGTGCATGATTTACACTCAACAGAGCTCTCTATACCCCTAATCTCCCTCATGGTGACAGAGCCACCATGGCAAGTACCATACCACTCTCCATGGAGCTGTGGGGACCGGGCTATCCATGCTCCATGAGTACCAAGTACAGTTTCCCAAGGACCAGTGCCTGGGAGGATGCTATGGACCTTGGTCCCCTTGGTAAGTTAGGGAGACAATAGCAGCATATCACAGACATGGCTAAGAGCAGAGACTCTGTGGCAGGTGAGCATCACATGGTCTCCCTTGAGAGAAAATATCCCTAGCTAGTCAATGGAAAGTCAAGTTGGGGCCAGCAGAAGTGTTGCACGCAGCAAGTGGCTCCAGTAGCTTTTCTGGAAAGCAACTGTGTTTCTGCAACATAGTGTGCTCTTTACATCACAAAGGGGTGGGGATGAAAATGTCTGCCCCCAAGTACACCCATGCACTTTGAGAACAGCAGCTAAAATAAGGAACATTTAAATAATGAACATAGATATACTTTTAGCAGTCTCTTTGACCATGCTCTGGCTGTCCTGCTGGGAAGAACATGATCTGGAGCCAGGTCTTTTGGTTCAAATCTAGCCTTTCTTTCCCAGCCCATGAGACCTTGGGCAATGATCACTTTCGGGCTGAGGGCTCATGTGTACTGTGAACTTAGGTGGCAAGGACTGTGTGGTAACATGGGGGACAGGTAAGCTGGGGCAGTGACATGAAGACTGTCTATATGATGTAGATAGAACCAGGGCCTGGATAGTCTCTAGGATTTGGGATTGTACTTTGATTTCTGCGAGGGAGTAGACTGTTTCTCTGTTATAAAGAACACCAGGCTCACTCATCCCTCTTCCATCCAGTGTAGTCTGAGTGGGAGGCACCAAGGAATTGAGCACCAGCACAATTGCTTACCTGAGGCGAGTGGCTGCAGTCACTTATTATTGCCAGGGGGAGCTTTTTAGCTGTCGGCAGATACTTTCTTGTTTTGGTTCTTTTGAGACAGAGTTTCTCTGGGTAGCTCTGGAGCCTGTCCTGGAACTTGCTCTGTAGACCAGGCTGGCCAAAACTCGCAGAGATCCGCCTGCCTCTGCCTCCCGGGTGCTGGGATTTAGGTGTGTGTCACCACCATCAGGCAACACTCACTCCTTACATGCAAGGGCAACTGGTCTCCCTTCCACAACAAGGCCTCCTGAATCCTGGCACAGAGTGGCTAGACCCATCCATTTCTCATGCTGGTCCTGACCTGAAGTTCCAACGGCCTTGTGCAGAAAGACCTCATCTGACCTTACATAGCTGAAAAGTTAACAATTTCAGCAGCAAAAATGGAACTAAGATGTCCAAAGGTATCACTGCTGGAGACATGACCTTTTCAACCAGAGACATGCTATTGGGCTACCTCTGGAGCCACAGGAATACAGCAAGAAGCTCGCTGGTAGGTTTGCCTACCTGTATCCAAACAGTAGCCCACAGGTACTGAGAGACCTGGCCCTCTGCTCCATTCTCACTGCTGTCTGAAGCCCTGAGCCATCTAGAAGCTCACTATGCCTCTGCCTCCGTGTGTGACAGCAGCAAAGCAAATTGTAGGCAATCAGATTTTGGAGCAGGGATTACTTCCAGTCAGATCCATGAAGCTCCACACTGTGAAAGCAACAGGAGGTGGTAGGTGGCCATGGGATGAGGGCACCCCAATACCCCCTTCCCTTTCAACCCAGGAGTTCAAGATTGATTCTTTCATTTGACCCCATTTATGCCTGTAGTATGTTTTGTTATTAATTGAGTAACAGATTCCACACAAAATGTTTAGGAAACACAGAGAAGGATGAAAGACACAATCTAACGGCCCCCCTTCTTCAGATCAGCCAAGGTTAGTCCCGGTGTATTTTCTCCTACTCTTTCCTCCCTAGAGAGGCAAATCTCAACCTCTGACTTCCTCCTGTGTTACTCAAAGTTCTTCTGCCGCTCTGCTTTCTGTGGACTAGAGGCAGGCCACTGCCAGAAAGCTCTCCATGGATAAGTGGGCATTTAAGGTGTTTCCAGTTCTCAGCTGCCGGGGACATAAGTTCACAGGTCAATTGTTCCCTTTACTTTGAACTTCTTGGCAGACCTCTCACTTGCCCGAAGCTGGAATTTGCTTCCATAAATGTAGGAAATGAAGTCATCAATTTCGATGGTGAACACGCAATTTAGCTTGGGGATAACTGAAAAGAAAAGAAAGGAAAAAGGATGAGGGACAGCCTGGACAGTGCATTCAGATTACATGGAGCGTTATTCATACATGCTTGTGTTACAGTGAGACAGGTGTGGTGGCACACACCTTTACTGCCAGCACCTGGGAGACAAAGGCAGGCAGCAGGCAGAACTCTTGAGTTCATACCAACCCGGTCTATATAGCAAGTTACAAGCTAGCCAGAACTACATACTGAGACTGTCTTAAAATAAAAAACAGTGTATAGGAACAGGGAAGCCAAGCAAGAAGTACCCAAGGAAGACCTGGGCTATTTGATTCATGGTCTAAATAAAACTCAATGCCTAATTTCCAGGTTCTGAGGTCATTAACTCAAATCCCAGAACTGAGGCTCCCAAACCATCAAAGTTGGTTTATCCCAAAGTTTTGCACTGGTTCTTAGATTTGTGCTCAGTGGGGAAACTTCTGCACTCCCACCTTAGACTTATAATGTGAGCAAAAGGACATACACGGAAACAGACAATGAAGCAGGGCTGTGGGGTAGCTCAGGTGCAGGGCACAGGATTATCAGACAGAGGTTCTGCCTGGGCTTCATCTCCAGCATCATCAGATGAATGAGTACAAACCCTCCAACTGTTTGTTTGAATCTTGGATCTGTGGGCAAGGTTAGGTAACAGGGATATTGGAAGATTCTAAAGTACCCACTGGAGTAGCACTAACCATGCTAAAACTCAGTGTCTCCAGCAAGGGTGCAGTTCTCAGAACTCCAGGGGCAGACTGTTTTGGTTCCTCTTGCCTGTTCCTTAGTTACTCATTTGAAAGGTGGTGACCTTGGCAGGTAGAGACCTCAAAAAGACCTGGGCCCAAGACTCAGTCAAGCAGTTCTGTCCTGTTTATGGGCAGGCTGCTGACTGTGTTCACAGATGTCTCCTGGGAGTCACAGCGCAGGGGCCTCTCTCTAGAGTTCATCACAAAACAAGCACATTCAGCCTGTGTGACTCCATGCCAAATGGAACCTGGGGGCCACAAGGAAGGAATATACATACATACATACATACATACATACATACACACACACACACATATATATATATATATATTTATATATGCAGCACCCTAGGAACACAACCCACACCTTTCAGATGGTCTTCTTTGGTGATGATCTTGAAGACATGCTTGGTCTCCTGCAGAAGGATTCCTGTAACCCCCACATAGGAGGGGCACTTGGACTTCGTGACTGCAAAAGAGAAAAACACTTGAGGATAAGGCCTGGCTAGTGTTGGCATTCACTGCCTGGTCTCGGGAACTGGGGACCTGGCCCTTCTAAGCTGAGGAAGAGAGTGCCCAGAGGATAATGGCTCTGTAGCTGGGCAATGACCAAGCCAGCAAGAGCCCAGGCTTCCCAACTCCTTGTCCTGGGTGTTGCAATCTCTGGGCTGTTCTTAGGCATCCTTTGGGTTTTCGGCAGGGTTCTAGATCCAAGAGGTCATATGCAAAAACAACAAAGCCCAGTCTTGCTCCTTTGATGAAGCAAGTGCCATGGGCAGAACATCCATCATTCCCTTTTGGGCCTCCTGAACTTTTCCTGGAATGCAGTCCTTCTATAGAGCTGACTGCAATGAGTACTGAGCAACTTCCTGCCTGCCTCCATGTAGTCAGCATCAGGAGCAATCTATGTGCCAAGGTTGGTGCTGGAGCAGGACACTGAATGAGATAGCGTGTATCCTGCTCCTGTGAGCTACAGCTCTCATGGAAAAGAGTGTATAGCAAGACATGAGTGATTCTACTTCTTGATACTGATAATGGCTATGAGGAAAAGAACAGAATAATGAGAGTGGAGGGAAACTTTAATGGTGGTAGACTCTCAGAAAGTGACATCAAGAAAGGGGCCTGAGTTACAGCAGGAGTCAATACAAGAACCTACAGAGTTCCCTCATTAAAAGAAGGACCCAAGCAAAGGCACTTGGTGTCCAAGTCACACAGAGGTCAACCCAAGACCACTGAAGACTTTTACTCTGAGTAGATGGGGAGCTGGCAGAGGCTTAGAACAGGCAAATAGCAGTCGGCAGTCTGATGTCTGATGACAGACTTCATTCTGTGCATTTAATCTGGTGTTTATGTGGGAATAAAACAGTATGTGAGCTGGGGAGGTGGGGGGTGAGAGGAAGCTTCCACAGCAACAGAAGGGGCTGGAGGTTAGATTCAGGAAGTAGGTGTGTTAGTCAACATGAGATGTAGGGTCAGAAAAGAGATAATGTGTGTGTACTTCCTAGGTTTCTAGCCTGAACAAACTGGATGGAACCCAGGTCAGAGAGAGCTGACCTCAGGGGAGACCAAGTGCTCTGTGTTGGACAGGTATTTTGAGGTACATCTTGGATGTCCAAGTTGCTGTTGGGTGCCATGGGGTGAATGAGTCGTAATCACAGGAAAGGTCTGTGCTGGTGATGGCACCCTGAAAACCAGGATGAGAGGGAATCTGTCCTGAAAGACGCTCAGCTAGAGGCTAGATGCCAACAGTGTGAGCCAAGGGAATGCAGAGACCAATTAGTGTGTGCTTAACGAGGGTGCAGGGTGGGTCAGGTCACAAGCATTTTAGAGCCTCACTGCTTGTAACTTAGAGATACTTCAGGGATACCCAGTGACAGATTACAGGGTGAATCCAGTCACTGAATAACAGTTTCCAGATGACCATATGCTCCATAGAATTTACCTGAAATAATAGCACCATGAAGATCTGCCTTTAGGAGCTTAGCCTGAATCATTTGTGGCTGCCTAGGAGGTGAAGAGAGCCACAAAAAAAGAGTTAGTAACAAAGCAAACAGATCACAAACACCCACAGCCAGGTGGTTTCTCAGGCTGCATCTCTAGTGCTCTCAAGACATGGGATCTACTCCCTTGGCAGGCTTCAGAAATAGAACTCACGTGTCTGGTTTAAGACCGTGGCACAGGTCTCGGATATACTGCTTCCAGAGTTCATGCAGAGGAAGGAAGAGGTTGTATCTGTCATAAAGTCAGAAAGATGTAGAAAGTCAGAACCTTGAGCTTGGGATTTCCAGTGTTCAGCAAAACAGAGCCAGGCTCGAGGTTGAGAAGGAGCATGAGGGAGCACTTGAGGCTGCGTGGAAGTCCTAGGTCCCCTGAAGACCCTGTGACCAAGGCCAAGTGCACTCCCCTCCTTCAATTTCTTCCCCGGAAGAACCTGTTCAAGGCTAAATTTCTGCTCTGGAGAAGGGAAAAGGTGGTCCTCTGCCTCGATGCCCTTCCTGCTGGCCAGTTGTAGGTGGGAGGGTGGACCCCCTGGATCAGAGGAGGAAGAGCATCTGAAGGTGGCGATGTAGCATCAGCCATAACAACCCTATCTCCTTTTCCCAAAAGCAATGAACAAATGAACATCAGTCATTGTTAACTCCCATTACAGCAGGTGAAGGTTCTCAGACAGGTCCTTGTGTAAGGTAGCAGGACTGTCTGGAAGTTGAAAGTAAAGGAGTTTTCTCTGGGGTTGTTATCATTTGTCTTGGTGCCCGTTCATGCAAAGCCAGGGTTACAGAATCAAGAACAACAGGCTCAAATCTGAAACAAGCACTTCCTGCAAGGACCCCAGGGAGGCAGCCCCAGGACACAGTGGCACTCTCATCCCTTCTGGGACATGGGAGACTATGGTGCTATAGAGTGTTATAGAAAGCCTATAAATTGTGGCTGCCAACACAAACTCAGAACTATCTGGAAGGAGACATCCTCCCACAAGACAGTGATGCATTCCCTTCAGAAACTTCTGAAATGCATATGCAGGACCTCTCCTTTGCATGGGTGACTCTGTCTCGTGATATTAAAAGCTATAGGAAAGTACATTAAGGAATATCATGATGTTCCTCTTTCCTAGAAAAACCAAAAGATAAACAGCCTGTTGCCCTGGGCAACAGACTTACTTATTAGTGGGGAGGCTAGGAGAGAAGTCAGAAGTCCTCAGTCTCATCAATGCCTGCCTTTTAGAGGCCAAGCCAAGACACAAGAAAACTGGTAGGGTGAGGCTGCCCCCTTGTGGCAGAAGGCGGAGAAGCCCCTGAGACTAAAGGGGCAGGGCTGCCCAGTAAGCCCCTGGATTCTTGAGGAGTTTACACCCTGACCTGGAATACTAGGCAATGGTGAGTGGCAAGGCCTTTAGAAAAGATGGGTGTACCTCTGTTGCTCTGGGTTAATGTCAAAGAGCCTCATGTCTCTCCTCTGTTTGGCAGAGAGGCCTTTGGATTTCTTCTGCTGCTTTGGCTTCTGGCGAGTGAAGTATTCCAAGACCACAGCCTTGCGCTGTAGATGGCTCTCGCAATCCTGCTGGCTCAAGTGCGGTATGCTCCTCTTCAGGAAGGCCCTCACAAAGGCCTCAGCCCGCTGGGTTCCCAGCTCCTGCTCAGAGACATGGTGGTGTGGTTCACTGTTTTGCTCTTGGACACTAAGACCCTCATACCCTGTTTCTGAGAGGCACCATCTTTGCTAACCTCTCTGTCTATCCGAGTGTTTGCTCCACACAACTACCAAGATGTAACAGTAACACTCATATGTTAACTGTGACACTGTCCCACATTGCAGCCAGGTCAAACACTGACTTCCTGTTCTGCTTCTTTGAGGTTACTCTATGGAGCATTCAAAATCCTATGTAAGGCAAGACTTCTCTAATCCTTGTGGGGAAATAAGCTGGAGAAATAGATGAGTCAGGTCATTTAATAAGTCATAACCACAAGGCTAGACTGAGGTGGAAGGGAGCTGGGCTTGTTAGGGAAATGAGCCATTCCAGCACCAGGGGAAACAGCCTGGGCTTCCAGGGAGGTAAAGGAGGAGGAATTCCGACTCTGAGCACCACAGTCCTCTGTCCTTGTTTTTCAGCCTTGTGAACCCCATGTGGCTGCTCTTGGAGAGGTCTGCTCCAGCCCCACTTTGAGGCAGAAAGTGAGCATGCACTATCAAGTTACAAGGATTCCTAGGGAAGACTGAGTGAAAATATTTCACAGTGGCATCCAGTCCTGAAACACTGTAGCATCACCACCTCTCAAAGTGGGGTGCAACAGTCTATTCTTCACTGGACAGCAGGTACCTCACTTGGTCTTCATCTGCTGCAACCCTAGGCAGTGCTCTTTCCTGAGGACCTACCTGTCGGGGAATATTATTTTAAGGTGTGACTTTTGTTTATGCTTCATTTGTTTAATTCTGTGAAGCTGTGTTGCTGTGCCTGTCTAAAAGACTGGATGGTCTAATAAAGAGCAGAACAGCCAATATCGAGGTGGGAGCAAGGACAGGAAGGGCTGGTAGGTGGAGAGTATACATAGAAGGAGAAAAGAGGAAGAGAGGAAGCAAGATGGGAAAAGGGGAGGAGAATGTCAGGGGTCATCCACCCAGCCAGCCAAGGAGTAAGAGTGAACTAAGACATGCAGAAGTAAGAAAAGAGAAAAGGCCAGAGGCAACAGGTAATTGGGATAATATATAGCTAAGAAAAGCTGACTAGAAACAAGCCAAGTTCAGGCCAGGCATTCATAATTAAGAAAGTCTCTGTGTGTGATTTATTGGGGAGCTGGGTGGTGTGCCACCCAGAAAAGTAAGAGTAAAACATCATACTACACATACCTCTTGGCTGGGCCACTTGCTGGGCCCTTTTTACTCTAAGCAGACCATAAAAACAAGTATGAGGCTAACTGCCAGCTTTAGGTCAACACATCAACAGTGACTGATACCCTCCCTCTCTGTGCTAAAGGAGGTGGTAAAAAGACAGAACACACAATCTTTAAGGTACTTCAAGACAGTGATGGCTAAACAGTCCATTATCAATATCAGGACAATTTGGTTCTTTTAAGTACATATGTGGTCTCTCTTTCATGGGGAAACGAAATTAAACGTTTACTGGCCTTCTAAAATCTTGATTTCAAGGATTGTCTCTCTCTCTCTCTCTCTCTCTCTCTGTTTTGTGTGTGTGTGAGTGTGTGTGTGTGTGTGTGTGTGTGTGTGTGTCTGTGTGTCTGTGTGTCTGTGTGTCTGTGTGTGTTTTTGTTTGTTTGTTTTTCAGGAACGGGTTTTCTCTGTGTAGCTCTGGCTGTCCTTGAAATGAGACAGCTTCTTGCTTCTCCCTCCCACGTGCCGGGATTAAAGGCAAGCTCCACACAGCCTGGCAGAATATGCTCTCTTTATGAGCCACATGTGAAGCTTCAGCCCAACTGACAAAGCTTGCTGACATACCCAGATAGAATCTGTAACATTCACTTATGAAATAGGCTGAGCACACTGAACAGGGCAGAGAAGCAAGAACAAGAGAGGTTTCAGGCACAGGCTGTCACTGTCATTCCCTACAGAGTGGGAGATGACATGAAATCAAGGAATCCAAGTCCCTCAGAGTGACTCTGGTACCCTAGGAAAGGAGCCTGGCACAAGAAGACATCAGCACTAAAGACCTTGATGGGGCCTAATGTACTGAATGTAAAGATGAGAAGTAATCCATGGGAAGGACAGCTAGACCAGACTCTGAGCCATCTTTGTTGCCACGTCTCCTGCTCCCAGCCCACCTTTCAAAGATTGTACCTGTACATCGTGCTCTTTGGCTTCTTTATGAGAAAGGGCATGGTAAATCACAGCTGGGGGATAAAAGACAAAAAGAGAAGATTACTTCCTGTGAGGAGTGAGTATAATATCCAAGGCTTTTCCAACTATGACTTCTGAATAAGCACTCTTATTCAGATGAGGACTACTGGGTTAGTATGAAAAGGCAAAGCTTTCTTGGATGATCCTTCTATTATACTCTGCAGTGCCAGGAGATTAAACTCAGTGGGGTTTAATGCAGGGCAGGCTTCACCATGGATCCATGCCCCCGACCCTACTCAATGCGGCTTATTTACACATTTATTTAAAGACAGGCTTTCAGTTTGTATCCTGGGCTGGCTTAGAGTTCGCTATATAGCCCACAGTGGCCTTAAACCCTCAGTACTCCTGTCTTAGGCACCCAAGTGCTAGTTGCTGGATTATACACGTGTACCACCACAATTATCCCAGATACATTTTACTCTTCCCTTGGCCAGAGATTTGTCCTGGAAATTCCCAGGATGAGGTTTAAAAGAGCACCTCTCAAAGCTTAACTTGTTTAAGAATCACTGGACTCTTATAAAGACACCGGTTTTAATTTCTACTCTAGACTCTGCATGTCCAAAAAAATTCCTCAATGGTGCACATTGATTGATTGAAAATACAAGTTATAATTATGCTTGGGTGGTTGCTCACTTAGTAGTGAAGACACTAAAAGTGAGGTGATATTAATGGCTAGGGTGTGGTTGATTGAAACTGAACAATTTGCAGAGTACAAGAAGTTTAAAACAGATTTTTAAGTCTTTAATCCATAAAATTGGAATGTACCCTGACCAGATAGATACAACAGTCTTTCTTCAAATTCTAAATATGTCCAGCATGATGCCAAACTTTCTCTAAACCTCATGCTCCTGTTTGGTATTTGTTTGGAGGAAACCACCATGGTGGTGGGGGCAGAGTACAGGAATAAAGGAGATAAGAAAGAGCAAATGACCAGAATATGTAGCTCACACTACACCCTATACACTCAGTCTCTGAGCTGGGTGTGGTGGCACACACAGTTGATCCCATCACTTCAGAGGGTGAGGCAGCCTAGCTTACATAGTGAGTCCCAGCTCAGTCAGGACTACATAGCTGACCTCATCCCAACAGCTACAATAACAAACCAACAAACAAAAGCCCATGTCTGTTCTCTTGTGCTTCCCTGGGTACATGTCTGACCAGAGAGTTACCAGTTTTACATACAAAATCTTTAGTTCTCCCTTGAACTGCAGATTAAGACTATACTTTGTTTCTTGAGGAAAATGTGCAGGGCCTGGGACCCCAGGAATAATGTTGCTTTACCTACTGCAGATGCCTAGCATGAGAGCTGGAAGACTTCCTGCTGCAGTACACATGTGACAGCTCTGGTACACTCAGTGCTTGTCAAGTACTTGTTTTACAGCAACACATACATGCATACATACATGCATACATAAGTACATATATATACTCATAGGTGTGTATATAATTTATTTCAATCTCATTAACCTTTCTAAGCCATTCGGAATATAATTATTTCCTTGTATGCACATAATAATATTGACATTGAGTCATGCCAAGGCATCAGAGGATGAAAGGACACAGCAGGGGTGGAAATCATTAGATCAGAGGCTTAATCTTTACATTGTGCTCTCTCTGCTCTAATACCGCTCCAGTGCTTGCTTCCCTTCCTGGCTCATCCCTTTTCTGCTCAAATACCAACGCCTTAGGTTTGTGACACTGCGCCCGGGAAGCTTTTCATAAGAGGAAGGGTGAAAAGCCAGGATGTGGAAGGGAGCAATAGTTATCCAGGCAGGCAGTGATCAGGACAAGCTAAAGGCCTTGGCTGCACTTCTTCCAGTTCTCCTGAGCGTCACCAGTTCCCTGGGGTACCACACACTCATCCTGACATCTATTCCAGCTTAGAGACTGAGTTGGCCGATTCACACTCTGGGCCTCGACTGCTTTTGTGTACTGAGTCAGTTGCCTGGAAGTTGTCTCGGGACTCTGTTGTGACAGGATCCCTGATTCGGCTTCCATTCCCGACCCTCTATGCCGTCATCCACCCCGATTTCGAATCTCTCGTGACACTGACCCTTCATTGTCGGCGGCTTCCCGCGAGCTCTGGTGAAGTCTCCTTCGGGCCTCTCTCACTGCTTCCCTTTATTAGCTCTCTTCAGCAGCTTTCGGCCACCGGGACTCTTTCTGGTTGAAATTTCCGCTGGACAAACCCGCTGTGCCCAAGAAACGACGCGGGCACAGTCCACACACAGACTCGCTCCAGTACTTCAATGGACCCCGATCTGACTTCCGCTATGGCGCCTCGCGTGACGTCATGGAGCCGCGCCGGCCTCTGGCGGACATGCGCCTTGTGTTTGGCTCTGCAGCCGAGGGAGGGGCGGGGGAGGCGGCCGCGTCTGTGGCGGGCGGAGCCTGTTTTTCGCTGTCTCTTCAGTTGGTGTCGCCCCCTGGCGGCCACAGTCGGGTTGCGGGTCAGAACACAGGAACACAGGAGGCGAGCTGTCCTGAAGAGGACGCCAGGGAGACTGGGGCCAGGAAGGCCCGAATGCGCCTGAAATAGCGGAGGTAATGGCTGCAGTGAGGGTTTAGGAGTCCTTTGGAGTTTTGTTTTCCCTTCAGTTTTCCCTGACAGGGTTTCCACTGTTTAACAGCGCTGCCCGACCTGGAACTCACTCTGTAGACCAGGCAGCCTCAAACTCAGAGATCCTCCTGCCTCTGCCTCCTGCGTGCTGGATTAAAGGCAACTGCCACAACCCTCAGTTTTATTTATTTATTTATTTATTTATTTATTTATTTATTTATTTATTTATTTTTTAAGCAAGGGAGTCAATGCCCATGGCTGTCCTAGAATTCATTCACAGTATTACTAGTCACATTGTGTAATGATGATGGGGATTTACATCTGTTTCAGCTACTAAGTACTTTTATCACCTCGTTTAAGGGTCTGTTTCCTATGACTGAAAAGAGAGAGTAACTTTAGCTGGCTTTGGTCTCAGAACACTTGCTTTTTAAATTTATTTTTCTCCTCTAAAGACAAAGTCTCCCTGAGTAGCCCAGACATTTGCTATGTAGCCTAGGCTGATCTTGGAAATGGAGTATTCCTGTGTAGGCTTCCCTTCCTGCATCCAACCCAAAAAGCATCCTTGAGACTGGGAGAATTGGTGCTGTCAGTATGATAAAAGACAAAAAGTGATTCTCTGGAATCCAAAGGTCCAGCCAAGCCTGCTCAGGTTGCCTTGGTTCTGTCCAGACACTGCCTTTAATTTCCTGAGTGCTGGATCTAACTTGGAGGGTGGGTAAGGGAAAGCAGTGGTTTTCTTAATAGTGAGCACTATGCAACCTTTTAAAGGCAAAAAGAATTCTCAGAAAAACTTGGGCAAACAACACCGCATCCTTGTTTAAGAAACATAGGCTTTGTAGATCTTTGGGTGATAAGTGTGTGCCATTTTGATCTTAAGCAGTACAGGACATGGTAAGGCACATAGGATTTAGAGTTTGGGGACAGCCTGATAACAGCAGGATGGTCACTAAATGTGTTTCCTTTACAAAGGCCTGCAACTATTTTAGCATCTATCAGAGTGTATTTGAGAAAGTGCCCTTGAAAGCTCATAACATGTGAACTCCATAATGTACACCTGATCACTTGTTTGAGACAGAGTCTCCCTCTGTAGGCCTGGCTGTCTGAGAACTGGCTATGTACATCAATTGGCTACAAACTCACAGAGATCCCCCTGCCTCTATCTCAAGAGTGCTGGGATTAAGACATTTTAAAATATTGCTTAACAAAAGTTGTATATTTTTATGATATTTAAAAGGACACTGAAATTTATATATTTCGAAATGGTGAAATCAGGCTAATTAACCCAATAACCTAATATAATTGTTTTTGTGATGAAATATTTAAAATTTTAGTGAGTTTTTTCAAGAATATGATGTTGCTATAGTTACTATGTCATACATTAGGTTATTATATGTGAACAGTTGGGTTTCTTTAAAAAAAACTTAATGTTTGGTGCTTAGGATCAACCAAGGACCTAACCCATGTCCTCTACCACTGAGCTGTTCCACCCTCACAATTATGAACTTAGATAAGCATAAGACGATAGTGGACTAGGGGTGTATCTCAGTATATGAAGACTTATACATTGAGGTCCTGAGTTTTGTTCTCAGAGCTGGGAGTGGGAGTTGGGTGTAGACAACAGAAAATATGGGAGTTATTTTATGGGTTGTAGATTCAAAAGTAGCATGATTTCTGTTTATAGTGACACAGGCAAATGTCTGCCTCTTTCAGGTTATTAGGAGTCTCTCTTTTTAAAGGAATTATTTTGATTAGTGGCTGTTCTTTCTGGTTTTTCCGAGACAAGGTTTCTCTGTGTAACAGCCCTAGCTGTCTTGGAACTCACTTTGTAGACCAGGCAGGTCTCAGCCTCACAGAGATCATCCTGCCGGTCTCCCCTGTCCTGGGATTACAGATGTGTGCTACCATGCCTGCCTCTATTTTATAGTGTTTTGAATGCATATGTGTGTGTGCACTGTATGTGTGACTGCTTCCTGAAGGGTCCAGAAGAGGGCTCCAAATTCTCTTGAACTGGACTTAACACAGATGGTTGTAAGCCTTTATGTATTCAATGTGTTTTGAACCCTGATCCTCAAAAAGAATAGGAGGTGCTCTTAGCTGCTGAGCCATCTCTCTAGCCCACTTATTGGGAATCTCTTGATGAACCTTTTTTCAAATAGCTAGTATAGCTTTGGGTATCTGTCAGTGTTCCCTGTGATTCTCAGATTACAGTAGGCTGGTGGATTCCCCAGAGAGACAGTGCTTACTAAAATATCTGCCTTGTAGGAAGGAGGTGCACCCACTTTATCATCTTCAGAAAACAGTGCATGAAGAGATACCTATTAGAATTTTTGTGATTATTATTTATGATAGCAAAGTACTCAGAACAATATTTGAAATGGATGGACTGAGAAAGTGAAATATGTGCTGATTTATTTGGTAAATTAAATTTATCACATGGGTGATAGAGTGCATACCTGAAATCCCACCACTCAGATAGCTAGGCCAGAAGGATAAAGAGTTTGAGGCTCCCTTAGCATACACAGTAAGACACTGTCTGGAAAAGTAAATTAAAGGTTTCAAAATTTCTGATTCGTAGACATCTCTTAGGAGAATTACCCCACAGATGAGAAACCAGAATCTGTTTTTTTTTTTAAGATTTTTTTAAAGTGTGTGTGTGTGTGTGTGTGTGTGTGTGTGTGTGTGTGTCTGTAGCTATAGAGGCCAGAAGAGCATTCCATTGGATCTTGAGATACATGCAGTTTGGAGCCACCCAATGTGGGTGCTGAGAGTTGTGGAAAAGCAGCAAGTGCTCCCCAACCCTGAGAATCTATATTTTTAAAGACTGTTCTCAGGTGAGGTGTTCTTATGTAACCGATATAAGTAGATATAGTAGGGGACCCTCACAGATTAGATAGTCATAATGTTTAGGACACGTATAGAAAAATGGTAAATAACACCATCATACACAGAAAAGAATATACAAATACATTGAAAGATTTTATAAATGGATTTAGGAAACATTTTGCTTACTTAAAAATTCATTTTATGAAACTGACACATGAATTTTTCCCCTTTATAGCAATGAGCAGTAAACTTTGCATCATGGATCTGCATATATTTTTCCAGGCATGGATCTGTGAAAATTCTGTGAGAATTTGAGGTTCAGTGACATGGTAGTGACTCCATCTACCTCCAAAAACTTATTATGTATGACTTGAAGTAGGATTGGTGAGATGGCTCAGCAGGTAAAGGTGTTTAGTATTTAAATCTGACCACCTGAACTTTGTCTCCAAATTCCACAAGGACAGAAAAGGACTCCAGAGGGTTGACTTGTGACTTCCCCACACATGATGAGGCACATGTATACCAGCGATCACACACATACTGCAGTCAGTTCAAGTATGCTTCTTTCTTCTTTATTCTTCATTTAAAGTTTATTTTACATACCAACCACAGTTTCTCCTCCCTCCCCTCCTGCTGTTACCTCCCCACCTCCCCTCTACCTCCTTCCCCATTCACTCCTCATCCATCTCCATTCAGATGGCATAAGGCCTCCCATGGGAATCAACAAAGCATAGCACATCAAACTGAGGCAGGAACAAGCTCCTCCCCTCTTGTTCAAGGCTGAACAAGGCGTCCCACCATAGGGAATAGGTTCCAAAGAGCCAGCTAATGCATTAGGGTCCTCCTGCTAGGGCCCCACAAAATATCAGACTATACAACTGTCACCCAGATGCAGAAGGCCTGTGACAGTCCCATGCCAGCTCCCTAGCTGTTCGTCTAGAACTCCCACAAGCTTTGATCAGGTGTCTCTGTGGGTTCCCTTTCATGATCTAGACGCCCCCCATCCTTTTGTTCATATAATCCCTCCTCCCTCTCTTGGGACTGGACTCCCAGAGCTCAGCCCAGTGCTTGGCTGTGGTTATCTGCATCTGCTTCCATCAGGTACTGGATGAAAGCTCTATGATGGCAATCAGAATAGTTCCCAATCTGATTACAGGGGAAGGGCAGTTCAGGCACCCTCCCCACGATTTCTAGTTGTCTTAGCTGGGGTCATCCTTGTGGTTTCTTCAGAGTTTCTCTGGCATCATCTTTCTCCCCAACCCCATAATAGTTCCCTTCTCTCAAGATGTCTCTTTCATTACTCTCCCCCTCCGTCCTGTCCCCAACTCAACCATCCTGATCCCTCATCTTCTCTACCCACCATCCCCTCCCCTGTGGTCAGATTGAGCACCCTTTAGGCATATGCCCAAGAGTTGTATCACTGGGTCTTGGGGCATATTGAGTCCCAATTTTATGAGGAAACACCATACTGACTTCCAAAATGGCTGTACAAGTTTGCACTCCCACCAGTCAGTCATTGAGGGAGAGTTCTCCTTACTCCACATCCTCTCCAACATATGCTCTCATTAGTGTTTTTGATCTTGGCCATTGTGACAGGTGTAAGATGGTATCTCAGAATCATTTTGATTTGCATTTTCCTAGTAGCTAAGGATGTTGAACACTTCTTTAAGTGTGTCTTGATCATTCGAGATTCTTCTGTTGAAAATTCTCTGTTCAAATCTGTACCCCATTTTAATAGGATTATTTGTTATTTTGATGTCTAGCTTCTTTATATAGTTTGGATATTAGTCCTCTGTCAGGTGTGGGGTTGGTGAAGGTCTTTTCCCATTCTGTAGGCTGCTATTTTGTCTTACTGAGAGTGTCCTTTGCCTTACAGAAACTTTTCAGACTCAGGAGGTCCCAGGAG